ACCCCACCTGCCCAGGGACACCCTCACGGCCTCATCCGTGATGAAGGTGTTCCTGGTCCGATGGAGAACAGAGAATTGGGCGGGACAACCCCTCCCACCCCTAATAAAAATGAAAGTCAGATTTATAGATCCTTTTGCTAGTATTCTTATTTAGTTGTTTTATAAACTATGATCCATGTCATTGGTTAAATAGAAACGTTTGAACCAGACCCAAAGGGGAGGACATCAAACAAAGGAACCACTATCCCTCATCTCCACCCTGGCCCCCTAATTATGGTCTCAGGCGTTACCATCTGTGATAATTGAGGTCCGGGTGTATACTCTCTGCAGAGTGGAACTGTAGCAGGCACACCATTCTTCACCCTAACAATCTCAGAAAGTAGCTTGGGGCACGCCCCCATTCTTTGGGGAGAACCTCAGACTAGGGAGAGTGTAGAAGTCTGACCTTAACACTCTCCCTCCAATGTACAATCACTGGGACTCTTGCTTTGCAGCATGGGCCTGCACATGGTCAGCACAGCAGCTCATGAGACCGTCAGGGGCCCAGGAGGACATCTGCATTTCTTCTAAAGTCAGAGTTAAAGAAGTGAAAATCATCGACCATGTATCACATCTGTCATTATACCAACACAGCTATACAATATAAGCAGGTTTCCTTACGGAAGAAGGAGTTCATGGAAAGCAAAGTGAGTAGCACCCACACAAGTCTGCATGGGGCCCTGACAGCATGTACTTGATTACCTCCAGTGACTGGGTGCTCACTGCCTCCTTATTTTACCTTCCACCCTGTCCATCTGTCTTCCCACAGTGCTGAGACTTGTCAGGAAAAGCTTTTTGTCTGTCTAGTATCGAGTCGTATCCCTTTCTTCTGTACATGAGTCTAGATTTTAAACACTTGAAAGGATGTAATGAACCCTTACAGCCCTCGGGGTGTCCCAGGAGGAGAAGACAGCCACTCTGACACCCTTTCCCCACCATTCATTCCTTTTCACTTCTGGACATGGCCAGTGCCTTCAGCACTTTGACAAATGCCTGAATTTCAAGTGCCCCTGCCTCCCGACTGCCGCCCTGCTCTTAGGGTTCAGATTCCAGAGCTGAACCCAGATCCCCAGGTGTGAGCGTCTCATCACAGAGCAGGCGCCGCCCTCCGCCTCCGGGAGCCGCAGTCCGTCTGCTCTCGTGCATGCCGCGACTTCCCCAGTCTCTCCGGCAGACGCAGCGCAGCAGTGACCCACCAGGGCTGGCCCCAGGCCTCTTCTCCTCGCGCCTCCCCGCTCCTCCATTTGTGGGCTTGTGTTTTTGGACCCAAGCATTGAAACATGCAATGATCTCCCGTATGATCCATCTGTCTCCTTCTGTCGAGCCTGGCCCCTGCCTGTCCAAATCTCTCTTTGGATCTAGAATGTGCCATCGACTAGGTTTAGTTTGCTTTCCACCTCTGTGGCAGCTGCCAATGAGATGGGTATGCTTTTTCTGTGACTTCACCTCTCGGAAACAGGACCCTCACCTGCAGAATGGGTGCTGGTCAGGGTCAGAGATTGTGCCTGTGAAGTGTCTGCTCCACGGGAGGAGGCAGGGCAGCTCCCTAAGTGGCTGGAGCCCTTCTGCCCTTCCAGCCCTCCCTGAGCTGTTGATGACAGTATCACAGGGACCAAGCCTCAACAGCTCCTCTCAGCCCCTCATCAACACACAAAATGACTCACTGAATTATTTGAGTCCCCTAGTGGACATTCTAAATGAAATGGGCCCAAAACACCACCAAATCAGCAGGGAAATGCAAGTTAAAACTACCATGAGCTATCACCCCCTACCTGTTAGGATAGCTATTATCAAAAAGACAAAAGATAACGAGAGCTGGCAAGGACGCGGCAAAAAAGGGAACTCTTGTGCGCTGTTGGCAGGAATGTCAACTGGTGCAGCTACTGTGGAAAACAGTATGGAGGCTTCTCAGAAAATCAAAAACAGAGCTACCATATGGTTCAGCAACTCCCCTTATGGGTATGTATCCAAGGGAAATGAAACCAGTATCTCAAAGAGCCATCTGGAGTCCCATGTTTATCACAGCATTACTTATAATAGCCAGGATATGGAAACAGTCTAAGTATCCATCCATAGGTGAAGGGATAAAGAGAATCTGATACATGATATACAAGGGAATATTATTCAGCCTTAAAAAAGAAAGCGATCCTGCCATCTGTGACAACGTGGATGAACCTGGAGGATGCTGTACTAAGTGAAATAAGCCAGACACAGAAAGAGAAATACCATATCATCGCATTTATATGTGGAATCTGAAAAGGTCACACTTACAGAATCGAGATTAGAACGGTGCTGATGGCAGAGTAAAGGGTGGAGGGAAATGGGGAGAAGTTGATCCAAGGGTACAAAGTGTCAGTTATGCAGTAGGTATTAATTTTACAGCATACTGGATATGTATGACAAACTCTACCTATTGCACCTATTGGAGATCTACTTGACAGCATGTTGGCTGGAGTGACCAATACTGTGCTGTATACTGTGTATTGTAATTTGCTAAGAGAGTAGATCTTAAGTGCTCTTAACACACCACACACACACACACACACACACACACACAAAGAAAATAGTAACTGTGATGTAATGGATGTATTAACTAGCGTGGTTGTGGTGGTTATTTCACAATGTATATGCGTACCAGAACATTACAGCGTATACCTGAAATATGTGCAATTTATATTTGTCAATTTTGCCCCAATAAAGTGGAAACAATGGAACTGGCCTATTTGGTAACTGGGGTCGTTTTAAACTCCATGGGGATGTCGTACACCTACCCTTCTAATCAATTCTAAAGCAACTTTACTTTTTTTTTTTTTATGGTATAGTCACAGCTCTCTGTCAAGGATGGCAGGTAACTTAGATAGCTGTTTAAAGTTTCACCTGCTCTGACCTCTGTAAACCTCTGCCCTGTCAAAATACACAGTAGTTGTCCAAAGCTGGGACCTCAGAGACTAATAAAAAATAGATGTAACCTAGAAAACCTAAGCAGAAGAGCTCTGAGTGTGTATAAAAGACTTTGCGGTGTGTTCCTTCCCCCTTGCTGCTTCTCTCGTTTCCACCGCTGCCTTCCCTGCCATTTCCCAGTGCCAGTTTTGAAGCCGCGAGGCTCTGAGGCGCTTCTTGAACAGAAGAGCTCAGAGTTGCCAGTGTCCACCTTTGAGCTGCTGCGGGTCCCCCCTGGTCCCTCTTGAAAGGAGCTCAATGTGCAGACTTTTGCAGACTCTGCCCTTTGTGGCTCCCTTTGCTTCTCCTTGCAGAGAAAGCTGGGCATGAAAGCAGGAGGGAGCCGGTGAGCATTTATGACCGGCCGTCCAGGGTCTGTGTCCCGCTTGAGAGCCTGGGGCCGGCTGTCACAGTGGACCAGGCGGAGCTGTCATCGGGCCTGGAGGAAGGATGGGGACTCGTGGGTGAGCGTCCCTGTGGGCTCCAGGCTCCACAAAGAGCTGCTGATCTGGGCTGATCATGTGGGTGCTGGCAGGTCGGGGAAGAGGGGTCAGCGTGGAGACAGGGTGCTGACTCACCCTCTGACCTCGGCAAAGCTTCTCTGTCTTCTTCAGCCCATTTCTCTAGCTGAAAATGGGCTGGACTGCATGAAGAGTTTAAAAAGAAAAAACACCTGGATTGCACACAGGTAAACTTCTCAGCCCTTTGATGCTGAATACAGGGTAGGTAAGTGCAGACCAGACACCATATAGACAGAGCTGACATGCTGGGGTGTTGCAAAACACTGGTGGGTCGCAGTGCCAAAGTCAGAGTATCTTTGGGGTCAAAATGACAGAGCCAGCGCGGAGGGGGCAGAATGGGAGGGCCAAAGCCTCCCGCATCTCCAGGCCAGAGCACGCTGGGGTTGTAGGTCAACGCTGTTTACAGCCTTTGGGGGGGCAGAGAGGCGAGAGGGTGAAGCGTGGATTTCTGGGGGGCTGAGCCAGGAGATGCTGCCTTTGGTGCCAGGCCACCAGGAGGCCTGGATCCTGCTCTGTCCCAGGTGTGAGGCCTGGGCGATTCTCTGGGCCAGAGTCTACTCCTGGGTCAAAGGTGGGAGCATGTCACACAGTGAGCATGTGTACCCAGGGCTTGCACACGTCAGCCGGCTGCTGGTAAATGCTCAAGAGAACGGACCTGTTAGTACGAGCCCAGGGCTGTGCCGATGTCCTGCGTGCACCGATTCCGTCTACGGTGCCTCGTGCACACAAGGGTCTTGGGAAATGTCTTCCCTTCTGTCTCCTCTGCTTCCGCCTTCAGGCTGTAGTCATCCCGGAACCTGGCAGAGTTCCTCTCTTTCCCATTCTCGTGAGTCTCTGCACGCTTTTGCCCACCGGAGCGCCCCCTTCCCCGCGTACCCTCCGTCCTGTCTCCTGGCTCATTCCGATTGCTCTCCAGGTCCGGGGTGGGCTCACTGTACCCCCCGTGCCCACTGCCTCCGCGTCCTCCTGGTGCTGCATCAGTTCCTCACCTGCCCCGGCAGCACACTGAAGCACACCTCTCACCTCTCCATCTTCTTCACCTACTGCAGTGCTCAGCACACAGTAGGTGCTCAAAAAATGTCTATCAAATAGAAGTGGCATCCTAGGTGGTGCTAATGGTGAAGAAGCTGCCCGCCAATGCAGGAGACACAAGAGATGGGGCTTCAAACCCTGAGTCGGGAAGATCCCCTGGAGAAGGGATGGCAACCCACTCCAGTGTTCTTGCCTGGAGAGTCCCCTGGACAGAGGAGCCTGGTGGGCTACAGTCCATGGGGTCGCATAGAGTCAGACGTGACTGAGCATGATCATATATAAATATATATACACGCACACAAGCGCTCTGGCTCCTTGTGCCATTTTCTGGAGTGCTAAGGCACAGGCAATGTCCTGCCAAGTGTCCCAGAAAACGTGCCTGTGAGAGGGGGTGGCTGGCTTCTGTATTGCAAGGAGGCAGCTCCTACACTCCCCTCCCGTGCCTCTCACGGGCCCCTCCTCAGTTACCAGGAAGCTTATCTCGCACGCTGATGCGCCCGTGTCCTCCTGAGCCAGACCTGGCTGGAGACACGCTGGAGACGCACAGCCCCGGAAGCAAGGTGGGTGCCGGCAGATCCTGCTGGGACGGGACTCTGCAGGGGCGCTGAAACGCCCGGGTGCACCCAGGTGTGTCGTCTGGATTCCAGTGCTGGCTGCCGCCGCCGCCGCCTCGGGCCTCCTTCCAGCCTTGAGTCACGGCTGCCTCCCCCGGGGCTTCGAGGCACACGGACACTCTTTTGTAATCTGCAAGTATAAGAAAGCCAGCCTGTCCCCGTTTCCACATGCCCATACACCGCGCTCCGTCCCCCGGCACGGCCCCTCTGCAAGGCTGTGCTAAGCTCCGAGCACCGGGGCTGATGTCGGGCAGGCATTTAATAAAGCTTAGGCATCAGTGCAATCGCCGCTGCTCCCAGAAGCCCTCCCAACTCCTGCCTTTTACTCACCCTATTTATACACCCACGGGTGTATCCTGACCTCTCTTCCAAGGCCTCTGGGGCTTTGGGAGCGCACGGTGCAGTGGCTGCTGCTACTTCTTGGCTGTGTCATCTCTGAGTTCTTGACGTGCTCTCCGAGTCTCGGTCTTCAGCCTATGGTGGGGTGTCAACTTCTGGGCCTCTCTGAGCTCCAATGGAGAAACTTTGACGGAAACTGACATAAGCCAAAAGCGAACTTAGGGACCCAAACGGTGCAGAGACAGGGCTGGCTGCAGGCTGGGCGGGAGCCCCACGCGGCCCTGGGTCCTGCTTCCTCCCGCCTGCCTTCCTGGATTCCCAGCCAGGTCTCCAGGGGGCTCCAGCTCCCACAGGTCCCGTGGGGGTCGGTCTGAAGTCCCAGTTGGGCAAATCAAAACCAAGGCTGAGGTCAAACCATTTGACTAGTTATCCGCCCACCCTGCTCCAGTCTTTATAGCAAAGGGACGAAATATGTTGACTGACTCTTCTCTGGCAGCTCAGACAGTAAAGAGCCTGCCTCCGATGTGGGAGATCCGGGTTCGATCCCTGGGTCGGGAAGATCACCTGGAGAAGGACATGGCAACCCACTCCAGTATTCTTGCCTGGAGAATCCCATGGACAGAGGATAGGGGCACGCTACATGCAGAGTTGAACATGGCTGAGCAACTAACACTTTCACGTGAGACTCAGAAACAGGTGGGCAGGGACACGGGAAATCGCTGAGTGTGAGGGAGGAGCCGTGCACCGTGGCGTGGAGCCCATCAATAAACGATGATGTGACTGACCGCCAGAACGTGGGAGTTACTCACCCAGGGCTTGCCCTCGGCTCTTAACGCACTGGCTTTTCACAGTAGCCCATGGAGGCACGTGCTGCTCTTTCTGTTTGGCTCAGAAGGAAGCTAAGGCACAGAAACATTATGGAGTGTTTCCAAGGTCTGTCACCTGGTGAGTGGTACAAGTATGAATGAATGCAGCGTGGTGGCAAAGTTCATGCTCCGGCCGTCTTATCATCGAGTGTGAGGGGGAGACACGCAAGAAACACAGAGGGAAACAATATATACTATGTTATACTCTGCAATGTAATGTGGTATAGCATACTATAACTTAGTATAGTATTACATAACACTGCATTGTGTAAAAGATCACACCGTGCATCACATCACGGGAGGCATTGGGAAGTGGTCCTTTTTCTTTTTTTTTTGGCCATTGCCTCGTGGCTTGTGAGATCTTAGTTCCCCCGACCAGGGATCAAACCTGGGCCCTTGGCAATGAAAGCGTGGAGTCCTAGTCCCTGGACCACCAGGGATTCCCAAGGAAGTGGTCCATCCCGAGAACACCTGCCCCCTGCCTGGAGCATCAGGGGTCCCGGGCAAGTGTTGACCAGCTGACACAGTGAGGCATTCTGTGTGGACCATGAGCATCCTTTAGTTGAAGAACCCCGTTTCTGCCTTGGCAACAGCATCATTATTACATTTGTGTGTCTGCTCTGTCATCTGAGATGTACAAAGAATCAAAAGAAGAAATTCTGAGGAAAGATCAAACAAGCTGAAATTTCTAGACCTACAGCCCTCTGGCCTCCACTGCTGGTGGGTGTTTACGATGTCAGATTGACTCTATGTCCCTAAGACAGTCTAACTGGACCCTTCCAGTGGATAAGACCCCAGGAAATCTGTTTATTGGCAGGTAGAAAAGGAGTGAAGGGTCAAGAGCAAATGATACTGAGCTTTTGTGCTCAACACTTAATCTTTCTCTCTTCTTTAAAAAAAAAAATTTCCTTTCTCATTTTTGAAGTCTCTGTTGCTATCTCTGAATTGGTGTTTGCTAAGCTACCCACTCCAATATTTTTGCCTGGAGAGTTCCATGGACAGGAGCCTGGTAGGCTATAGTGCCTGAGGCTGCAAAGAGTGGGACATGACTGAGCAACTGACACACACATACACACACACAATATGCTGTGGTCTAATCGTGGGTTGTTTTGGAGTGCTAAAATGCCCAGGCTGAGCTGAAGAGTGAAGATTTTGTTTTAAGGATGAAGTATATCCCTTTTCCTGGCCTTCTCAGAGCATAGGTTTTAAGGCAAATAACAGCTTGGGCTTCCTCACTTCACCCCTGCCTCCCACCCGGTAGCCTCATAAGCAGTATGTGAGGCACTGCATCCAAGCATCAGAGCGATTATGAAAATGCTCCTGAGATTAAGTTCACATCTGCAATCTAAACTGCAAACATCTCACCTCCCTCCACTGTCCTGGTGTCATCTGATCTCAGTTCCCTCAAGGTGACTAAGAGTCTAGTCATTAATATAACACCCACCCGCTTTATTGGAACTTACCGTCAGAAAGGTCTGTTTCCAGAAACTGCCTGCTCTGAAGGCAGCTGCAGGGCTGGCTCTGCTTGGCCATTGCACAAATCCTTGCACTGTCCCAACCTGAGTGCCAACGTCAGATTGCAGTCCTTGTTCTACGTGGCGTGGAGGAAAGGCTTGGTTTTAAGTTACACGATGGGGGAATTAGACTTCTAGAAGCTAGCACTCAATTGTCCACACTCCCACCTTTCCAACAATGCTGGAACCATGTGGTAGAAACGTGATGATGGTGAGGCTGACACACACATACACACATACACACACACATACACACACACAATATGCTGTGGTCTAATCGTGGGTTGTTCTGGAGTGCTAAAATGCCCAGGCTGAGCTGAAGAGTGAAGATTTTGTTTTAAGGCTGAAGTATATCCCTTTTCCTGGCCTTCTCAGAGCATAGGTTTTAAGGCAAATAACAGCTTGGGCTTCCTCACTTCACCCCTGCCTCCCACCTGGTAGCCTCATAAGCAGTATGTGAGGCACTGCATCCAAGCATCAGAGCGATTATGCCAGACTACTACTATCACGAAACACAGAGGGGAGAGAAATGAGCCAGACCCCATGAAGAAGCAGTCATCCACATCCGGAATATGGGCAATTCAGTGAGACGAATGTTCCAGTTTCTTCAACAGCCAAATGACCTGTAAGAGAAGGGGAGAGAGGGAGATTGTTACAGATTCAAGCAGGCATTCTTTCAGGTCTAAAAGGGGTGGCTCAAACTCAGAGAGGCAGCAATAGACGGGTGGGAGAGTCGGCTGGGGGGAGGGGGTCAGAGGTCACTGTCTACGCTGATTGCCTTTCCCAGATCCTTGCATTTACCTATGCTGAGGTCTCCTTCTGTGGGAGACCTGCTTTGGCCACTTCTCCCTAATCCAAGTGAGATGGTGTATTTCCACTCTGTGCTCCGATACTGGCATGGCGTCTGTAACTGTGTGTTGAAATTATCCATATCTGTTTGACTTTTTAAAACATTCAAGGCAACCGTAGATCCACATGCAGCTGAAAGGAATTGAATACAATTTTATTACACGCATAGGTTTATGGGTTTCAAGATGCAGGCCATTTTAGTCACCAGGATCCCACCCCTCCTCGCGTCTTCTGTAACTGCCTTGTGACCCTCTGTTCCCCTCATGATTCTGAGAGCATCTTGACCCAGGGGTCTTATGTTTCACCTGTTTCCTGGTTCAAGCAAACTTGAACCAGCACCTGAGTTCCAGGTGCTCCTACGTGAAAGATTGTGGAACAGATTCAAATTCTACCACAGTGAGAGAGTAGGAAAGTCATAATACTTTCTAGAAAGGTTTTGGCCAAGAGGGACAGAAACTATCTCTGGGCACAAAGAGCTGATGAAACACAGTCTACAGGCTCTTTTTCTCCAGAGAGCATGGTGACGATCTCAGTGGTAACTCCGGCGATGTCATTGCCTTAAACTATCATCTTCTCGGTTGATTCAAACAGAAACCTGCACTAAGGGAAGGACAGGTTTCTCTGCAAAATGAACATGTGCACGCCTGACTTGTTTTTGGTTCTAATTTTGTCCCTTTTGTGTCATCTTTCCACGAATATGGGGGCTCTGAGGTCAACGCACTTGAAAATGATGGACTCGTGGTGACTCGGGCCATGGGGACACCTCCCTTGATGGGGACAGTGTCTTGAGCCAGGAATGGGGAGGTCGTCAGCAAGAGTGTTGGGATTTTTCTTTAGACTTTCTTGTGACATATGTGGAAGGGGGCAAGCTTTCCTTCACCGGCCTCCAGCCCACTCTTGTTTTTCATCCTACTAATGGCAGGATTTTCAGAAACCATCTTAAGGAGCAGGAATCCTCAAATTACCCCTGAGAGCTTGCTCATATGCCTCACTGTGGGATGAAGACACTGATGACGCATCTGAATCCCTAGGTCTTGACGAAGGAGTGAACGCCCCAGTGTGCAGGGCGACTCTGAGTTTCCCCAAGTCTTGAAACGGAGTGACCAGTTGGCCCTGACTGAAATCATTAACTGTCAGGACAAGCTTTCAGCTTGTCAGTGTCAGGCTTTCTGTTAGTTGGGCAGTGAGCTCAGTTGCTCAGCCACATCTGACTCTTTGAGACCCCATGGACTGTGGCCGGCCAGGCTCCTCTGTCTGTGGGATTTCCCAGGCAAGGATACTGGAGTGGGTTGTCATTTCCTCCTCCAGGGGATCTTCAGGACCCAGGGACCAAACCCATATCTCCTTACATTGGCCGGCAGATTCCTCACCAGTGCACCACCTAGGAAGCCCTGTTAGTTGGGCAGATGAAGGGATTAAAAAAAAACAACCCCTGCCGCTCCTCCATAGCTATGTATCATTCCATCTGCCTGTCTGTCCACCCTCCCGTTTTTATGCACAGGGTACAACTCTCTTTCAGCAGCTCCAGGGGACTCGCAAAAGGCCACTGAAGCAGTAGTTTTCTGAACTTCTTTGCAGTGTCTTCTTGCAGGCACAAGCACA